AAGATTCCAAAAAGTTAAAAAACTAAATCAATGGAAACTTTTGTCTTTCAGATGAAATCATCGTTAATCTGCTCCACCTGCTCACCTTAGCGGAGGAGGTGAAGGCCCTCGGAGCGCCGTCCTCCAGGACCAGCCCCGCCCCCCTGGCGGCGAACCACACGGCGCAGCCGATGCTGTCGTCCAGCACCGTGTCCAAAGGGTGCAGCAGGTGACGGATCCGCCGGCGCCGCGCTTCCTGCAGCTCCTCCAGCGTCACATTGATCTCCACAAAGTTCCACTTCCTGTCTGGGCTGAGGCTCCGCAGCTCCTCCAGACCCGCCCTTCCTGTGAGTCTGTCGGGAGCGTCGAACGGGTCTGATGTCCGCGCGCCGGCCGCCTGCTGGAGCTTCTTCTTCTGCGGTTTAGGTTCCCGGCGCTGGAACGCCACGTTGAGCAGATCGATGGGCTGATGGGATGGAACATGGCGGTCCGCCAAGGCGGCCAGGATCATGGAATCCACGCCTCCGGAGAAGAGGACGGCCACGGAGGCGGAACCGGCGGGTCTGGGCGGCGCCAGCTGGACCCGCCTCCTCACAGCCTCGTTCAGAACGTGGATCAGACGCTCCGCCTCATCGCGCCGCCACTCCGCCTCAGCCAGCAGGTCCTCCCAGGCTGAGAGGCGGGATTCTGGAGGTGGTTCCGAGCGACCCGAGGGGGGAGGTGAGAGGCGGGATTCTGGAGGTGGTTCCGAGCGACCCGAGGGGGGAGGGAGGGATAGATTTAAAGGAGCGACCGGCGAGGGGAGGAGCAGGCCGTCCCTGTTCAGAACCACCTGGCAGTCGCTGGGAGAGGATCCGGGCTCGGCGGCGGCGGCGCCGTCCCAGGGAAACGCCTCCACTGAGAGGGAACCGGTCCGTCCGAACTCCTCCAGATCCACCCGGAACACTCCGGCTGCCGGGACTTCCCTCCAGTCCCCGTCCGACCCGGTGGGCTGAGCCGCCACCGAGCTCAGAACCAGCGACCCGGAAGTGCTTCTCCACAGCAAGCTGCGCCGACCCAGGAAGTCTCTGCCGAACCACAGGAAGTTCTGCTCCCTCTGGTGGTAGACGAAGGCCCACGGCCCGCGGACCTCGGCCAGAACCGACAGGACCTCTGCAGCGGTTCTACAGGACTCCAGCCTCCCAGAAACGGCGGCAGTGTCGTTCTCCTCAGGCTCCGCCTCCAGGCCTGCGAACACCTCCCCGTTCCACAGCAGGACGTTCCCGGCACCGTCCCGCAGCGGCTGAGGGGTCAGGAGGCCCCTCATGTGGAGAACGTGGGCCGAGAAGAAGCAGCGGTACCCCGGGTCGGACCCGCAGACCGTCAGGTCCTGACTAGAGTCCGGCCCTCTGCTCCGCAGGAAGTCCCGCAACTCGGCGTCCTCCTGGATCCGGGTCGCCGGTGGGCTCAGCGCACAGAAGATGCCGCACATGGCCGCCTCCGCCTCACAGCTCCTGCAGCTCCTTCTTTAAGCGGTCCAGGTCCTCTGCAGACAGAAGGTCCGGTCGGGTCAGAACCACGATGGGAAAACCGCTTTCTGCTAAATGAACTGGTCTCACTCACTTTTACAGGAACTCAGGGTCCGATTCCGGTCGGCCACGAAGAAGATGCTGCTGCTCCGCTGCTGGACGTAGACTTTCTGCAGGAGACGGGGAGAGAGGAGCCGTAAGAGGACCTGGAGGACCAGGAGGACCTAGAGGATCAGGAGGACCTGGAGGACCAGGGGAACCTAGAGGATCAGGAGGACCAGGGGGACCTGGAGGACCAGGAGGACCAGGGGAACCTGGAGGACCAGGGGAACCTGGAGGACCTG